ACCGCCCGCCCCGCCCCCGGCTGCCAGGCGGAGCCCCTGGGGTGGGGCCATGCAGGGGGCGGGGTTCACAGGGCGAGTGGAGAGCTGAGCGAGGGTGCGTGTTTTCGCGCGTTTGTGAGAGCGACTGTCTACTTTAGCAGACTGTGTGTGTGTGTATAAGAGGCTGCATGTACATAAAGTGTGAGATTGTGTAAGAGACTCTGTGTATGTGTGTGAGAGAGAGAGCGAGAGTGAGTTACAATCCAGTGGGGCCCCCTGTTCTTGTCTGACACCTGGACTGGGAGGGTGGTGGGGGGTCTGAGAGGGGATGTGCTGCTGGCTGCCAGGCGGAGTAGCGGTCCATCCATTCCGAGTAATACTTTCCTGTGTTGTTCCTTTTTTCTCCTCTCTAGTACCCTTTTGAAGTCTGTGTCTTTGTTTCTCTTTTGAGTGCTTCCCTGGTGTGTGTTGGTGGTTGGAGCCTTGGGAGCATTTGGTGGTGTAGCTGTCTGCCTTTGTGTGTATTTCTACAAAAGGGTAAGAATAGGCATCCCTCAGTGGATGGTAAGGGGGACGCAACTAACTTATAACTCCTTTTCGTACTACCTGTGATATTGTGGTTTATAGTAAGTATACATTTGCTCTTCATCCCCGTTTCTGGCACAGAACCCTTCAAACCTTGGAATTTCCTAAGTGAGGAGAGTGATAAAGACGCTTTTTGTTACAGTAATGAGGTGACTTTTGAAAAGCCCCTAGGCCAGTGGTTCTCAACCTTGGCTGCACATTAGAATCACCTGGGAATCTTTTTAAAATCCTGATTTCTGGGCCTCATCCTCTGGAAATTGTTTCTTTGTTACTAATGTTGTTGCCCCACCTCATAACAAAGAAACAGAATTTCCGGAGGACGAGGCCCAGAAATCAGGATTTAAAAAAGATTTCCAGGTGATTCTAATGTGCAGCCAAGGTTGAGGACCACTGCCCTAGGCATATAAGGATGGAAGAACCAACCCTGCGATTGGAGGGTTGGAACTTTTAGTCCCACCTCCTGACCTCTGGGGAGTGGGAGAGAGAGAGGAGCTGGCAGTTGAATCAATCACTTAGAGGCAATGATTCAATCAGTCATGTCTGTGTCAGGAAGCCTCCACTGAAAGCCAAAAGGACTGGGGTTTGGAGAACTGTTGGGTTGGTGGACACATGGAGTTGTGGGGGGAGAGGCACTCCCAGAGAGACCCAAGAAGCTGTGCCCCGCTCCACGACCCTCACCCTCTACCTCTTCATCTGGCTGTTCATCTGTGTTATCATAGCCTTCATAATAAACTAGTAAAAGTAAGTAAATGTTTCCCTGAGTTTATTACATTTTGAGAACAGACCAAGGAGAGGGCACTCTTTGCTTTGGTTGCTGTGTCCAGACCCTGACCCGCTCTGGGAGTTTGCCTCAGAACGCTGACCATTTTTCAGGCCCAGGAATGGGCTGAGCTGTTTGTAACATCACAGAAGATTAGCCACCTTGTTATGGGACTTGGAGTTCCAGAAGGCTGGACTGCAGACCCTCCCCTGCCCTTCCCATGTCACACTTGCAGCTCATAGCTGCATGTAGTTATCGTCTCCCTTGCCATATACAATCAGCCAATTGGCTCGGGGGGTCAGGGCCGGCTTTCCAGGCTCCCCATTCTGCCGGCATGATTGGAATAAATGCTCATATATGATTCAACCCTGCCTCTGCGTAATTTGTCTCAAGGAGTGACAGGCAACCTCAGACCTGTTGTGTACAGTATCAAGGGCTCCTCCTCCCCCCTCCCCCCCCACATCTTCACCAACGCTTGTTTGTGGATTTATTGATGATAGCCATTCTGACAGGTGTGAGGTGCTAGCTCATTGTGGTTTTAATTTGCATTTCTCAGATGATTAGTGACATTGGGCATCTTTTCGTTTGTCTGTTGGCATCTGTATGTCCTCTTGGGAGAAGTGTGTATTCAGGTCCTCTGCCTATTTTTTTTTTAAATTGGAGATTATATATATGTTAAGATGTCTGAGTTCTTTATAAATATTAACCCCTTATAGGGTCCATCATTAGGAAATATCATCTTCCATTTAGTAGACTGTCTTTTCATTTTGCTGATGGTTTCCGTTGCTGTGCAAAAACTTTTAAGTTTGATGTAGCAAAACCTTTTAAGGTTGCTGTAGTCCCACTTGTTTATTTTTCTTTTGTTTGTTTTTTAAGGCACATTTGAAGTTCTCCCTCTTTTGGCTTGTGTGTGGTAACTTGGTAATCAAGAAGCTGTGCACTCTTCAATCATACTAGAGAGTGAACAGAAACTCCTTGTGTACATGAGAACTCTGAAGGCACAGAATATATATGAGAGAGCAGGTAGAAGGAGTATATAGAGCTTAGCTTTCTTCAACTGAGTGGACAAGTCTTACAGAAGATCTTTAGTCTACACTGTACGGCCTTTAGGCAATTCAGGCTTCTTCCTGATAGTTTGAGAAGTGTTATTTATTCAGTTATTTAGCAGGTACATAATTATGGAACAGCAGTAGGCATCAGACCTAGATCTAGGTCCCTAGTCTCATGAAGCTTCCATTTCATTCTCTATTGAATTCTATTTTGCTTCTCCTGGCAGAGCCCAAAAGCTTTCCCCCAAGGGTGACCAGAATCCTTTGATCCCATCCTAGGACAAATGTCAGAGCCTTTTCTTTTTCTTATTTTTATCTGCCTTTTATTTCGTGAAGAAGTTTCTCTTTGAACTGTTATTCTTTTGTTCGCAGAACTTTGGTCTTTCCTGAAGATTTAGGGAATCG